AACTAAATAAAATCATTTTATCACCTAAATATATAAATTCTGTGGTTACTTACTTTGGAATACTTATTTTTGTAGTTTGTTATATTTTAATAAATTATATATACATGTTTAATTATATAATTAAATAATTATATTTAATAAGTTACCATTATTTAAATATCGATATCATTCCTGATATTTTGTTTCAAAAAAAATGTACTAATGGGGCTGAAGAGATGGCTCAGTGGTTAGGAACACTGACCCGGGTTTGAATCTCACACCCATATGGCAGCTTACAACTGTCCATAACTCCAGTCCCAGGGGATCCAACAGCCTCTTCTGACCTCCGCGGGTATTGTACGACACAGGTGCACTTACCTACATCCAGGCAATACACATACACATAAAATAAAAATAATAAAAAATATTTTTAAAAATGTACTAACAAAACTAAGTGCCATTATAGAAAGCATAACAGCTAACAGTTAAAATATATGCTTACTGTAAGTACAGCAGCAATCTTCTTGGCCACAGTGGGGGTAATCTGAAAAGCATGAGAAATCTGCCAGCCCTCCAGATCAAATATAGCCTTGACTCCATTCCGTTGAGTTTCCACCTCCTGTACAATAAGCTCCGATGTGATCAGACTTACGCGAAATACATCATAAGCTGTAAAAACTTTTGGGTCCCAGTATGCTACAAAAAATAGATAAAAGAACTTTGTATCTCATCATTGTGTAAAGAATCAAATTTTTTTTTAAAGGAACAAATCTTTTTAGGGTTAAGGGATCAGTAGAAATAAAAACATGAACAAGAGATCATGAACTGAGGAATAGACTGAATGGACACCCAAGTAAATTTGCCTGCTCCTCCTCCCTCCTCAAATTCCTGGCAAAGAATAGAGTTTTAAGAACGTTGGGGTGGGGGTGGGGAGGGATGCAGACTGAATTTGACTGATAAATGGAGTCACAACATCACCATAGGAGAGGTGCTCCCAGCTCAGAGGGGTTGAAAATGGGAAAAGTATAGGCCTCGGTCATGAGCAGCAGCAAGGGCCCAGGACAGCTTATAGCTAGGATCTGAAATGGACCCACAAGTTCATGTACTTGAAGGCTTGGTCCCCTGTGCAGCAATATTCAGAGATGGAACTTTTGGGAGGCAACTAGATCAATGGATTCATACTCAATGGGCTGTTGGGTGGTAGTGGAAACTTTGGAAGTGGGGTCTGATTGGAAGGTGTGGGTAACTAGGGATGTGCCCATGAAAAGAATATTTTGTCTCAACCGTTCCTCTTGCTGTTACTCTTTGCTTCCCGGCCACCACAAGCTCGTCAGCTTTCCTCTTCCCTCCTGCTGTTATGGTCTCCTGCCTCAGCACAGGTCCACAGTGATGAAGCCAAGCAGCCATCGCTTAAGACCTCTGGAACCATGGGCTTAAATCAATCTTTCCTGCTTTCAAGTTGTTTTCCTCAGGTATCCTGTCACAGTGATAGACAGCTGACTAACACAGCAACTGAAAATGTTGCTAAGGGAAACACTTGGAGAGCAGATAGGCTGGTCCTCTGCCAGATCTCAAGCACCAGAAGCACAAGGAAGTCATGTTCCTACAAGCTTGAACAGAATGGAAAGCTGTATTTGGGGAAGCTCCCAGGCAACACACCCAGGGAAAACAGAGAGCCTGAACGGACAGGAAGCAGTGACACTTCTCTCCATACAGCCCATCCCTCCCCACATCCATGAGACAGCCCATGGCAGAAATTACAGTAATGGAGACGCAAGCAGGTGGTCTTAAAAAAGATCTGCACCTATTAAAAATTTTAATACAGAGCACACATATAGAAGAGAGGAACCAAACTCTAGACAAAGCAGCAAAACTCAAGGAAACAGCTAAGAGAACATGAGAAATTAAAAGAAACATAATTATTTCAACAGGCGTAGGGAAAGGTGACTGAAAACTATCATGAGAATAGGTACAGCCAGTGAGATGGCTCTTGCAGCAAGACCAACCACCTAACCTCCATACTAGGAACCCACATGGTGGAAGGAGAGACCTGAGTCCTGAAAGTTATCCTCTGACCTCTCCATTTGAACTATGGCATGTATGCGCTCCCCCCACACACAATAAATAATGTCTAAAAAGGTAATTATGATGGTAAAATCCTATTGATGAAGACACCACACACTTTGATCATAAGACATGGGAAATCGAGCTGGTACTGACCTGACATTTTCTCCTGCTGTCTAGCTTTCAGTGCTAAAACGTGCTATACAGGCTACTGGAGGAAAATGTTATCAACAGTCTTACATGTCAACCCTGTAAGCTACAATAATAACCATCCTGGCAGGATATTCATGGGTACAATAGTGGCACAGCTATTATGGGGGCAACCAACTGCTTTCTGGTTGGGGGGAGGCCTGCTCCACAGGAGCAAATTCATGCCTTGAACTATAAACCTAGTCAAAAGTCCATGACTGGGGAGGTCATAGGCCCTAGGAAGGAACCTACTATTGTTGCTTTGCTAAATGGCCATAATGTCAAATTGCCTTCTAAATACTTATATTCATCATACCCAAAGGTTACTGCAGCTCTCAGCCCTCAGTGGAACACGTTTTTTTTTTCCTTATTTTATGAATCATGATTAATGCAGAGATTTATAACTGATCAAAGTGCATAGAGTAAGTGACTTCAGAGTGCTCATCCCTAAAGGGATATTTCTCTCATTTCTCTCTCTCTCTCTCTCTCTCTCTCTCTCTCTCTCTCTCTCTCTCTCTCTGATAGTTACATGCATACAGACCCCCAACACTCAAGCAACATCTTGAAAGAGGGACTGGAAAGATTTTAAGAGCTAGAGGTGGGGGAGGACTGCTGGTGTGACAGGGCTGGTGTACTCATGAACTCACAGCAGTTATAGTTGCCCTGCACAAGATCAAGCCAGTCAACATTCCAGCATGGATGGGGAAGGGGTTCATGAATCCCACACCTAACTAAGGAGCTACCGACAGTTAATGGCAGCTGGGAGAGGGAGAATCACTTTTCTTCAGGAGCGTGGCCCCTGGTATGTTGCCCATGCTGCAGTTTGTGGCTCTTCACCAATGCCCACATAGGCAGCACTAATTAGATCCAGTGGGTTATTTAAAAAAAAAGAAGAGGGCAAGAAGTTGGAAGGTGAACATGGGATAGGGTCCGAGAGGACTTGGGGGGTGGGAGGAGTAGATGTGATCAAAATAAGTTGTGTACATGTACAAAGGATGACTAAAAATATTTTGTTTTTAGAAAAAATAGGTAATTATTCAAAAGGAGTAGTTGATATCTTAGAAATTAAAAGATAATTCAATAAAAATTTTCAGTTGGTGGGATAAGTGACAGAATTGACCCAGACAGCGAGTGAAAGTTAAGCCGAAGAGTTTTTTTCAAAATGGCATGAAAAAGCAAGATGTGGTAAGTCTTAACAAAACATTAAGAGACCAATGCAGTTAAATCTGGAAAATTTGAAACTCGAATAATAAGAAATTTAGAAGAGAGAACAGGAAACAGGAGAAAGGAATATTAACGGTAGAGAAATTTTCCATAGCTAAATAAGATGTAAGATTTCAGACTGAAGAGTTTGCAGAGTGCCTAATGGGGTACACGTGAAAAAAGATTGTGTCAAACCAGGTGTGGTGGTGCACATCTGAGATCCCAGCATTTGAGAGGTGGAAGCAGGAGGATCAATAGTTCAAGGCCCCCTTCAGCTACGTAATGAATTTGAGGCCAGCCTGGGCTACAGGAGACCCCGTCAAAGAAAACAAGGAAGGAGAAAGAAAGGGGGAAATGAGGGAGCAAGAAGGAGGGGAAGGAAGAAAAATGATAGAAAATTGTTTATAATTAAGAAATGGCAAAAGCTCAGAAAATCAAAGATCCTGGCTTGAGTAACTGAGTAGGTTGTACGAGCCATTTACTGAGATGGCGTTTGGCATGGAAAAGAGCAGATGTGAACATGCCAAAATGCTGAATGAGAGACTTCAAGCTGGATACTGCTGGAATAGGGAGCTGGTTGTGTGGATTTTAATCCCCAAGGAACAGAATGTGATGAAGATACAATTCTGGGAATTGTTTGTGCTTATATGACATCTATGACAGGGACTGTCTAGATCTATTTTCCTGTCATATTACAAAGACAGAGATACATGTAAGGGTATGGAAAGATGACTCCGTTAAAAGGTACTGCTTTTGCAGAGGATCGGGGTGTTGAATTCCCTAGAGCTGGAGTTACAGGTGGTTGTGAGCTGTTGTACATGGGGGCTGGGAACCAAATCCTCTTCTGGCCTCCACGGGCAAACACACACACACACACACACACACACACACACACACACACGCACACTAAATAATACATATGAAATGAAGGCTGAAGCAGCTATCTTGAGGAGTTTCAGAACTTACAGGCTAGATAGAAGAGCTGATGCCTACAGGAAAGATGAAGAGCAGTCAGGTCGAAGGGAAACTCTAGGAGCACAGGACATCAAAAACAAGGAGGAGGAGGATAGTTCAAAAAAGAGGAGGTGTTCAGTTGTCCCGACCCGCAGGACAGTCAACGTGGGTTTCTGGAGGGAGGAGAGGGGACGGAAAGGGACAAGGGATGCGAAGAATGGAGACAAGACAGGCTTTCTGATCAAGTCTCATTTAATGAACATCTACACAAAGTTTTTATAGTGAGGAGAGGGGGAAGTTGGCAGGGAAAAATCCATTGAAGTAGGGCAACTTAATTAACAGAATGATTATCACAATAACACCACACCAATTGATCACAGAGTAAATTCCATAGTAACACCACAATTCTATATAGCAAGTTATAAATCAATTAAGAGGTTACACTTGTGTGATTACAGAGTGAGGGAGTCTCTCAAGCGTTAAGTGCCCAGGTTAGAACAACATGTTTGTGAGAGGCTTTCAAGTATAGTCATCTGGTTAATCCCAAACCAGGCCAGCCTTGATGTCTGAAAAACAACTTTGCCAGAAATCAGGTCTTGCTATTTCCTGGGGTAGGGGCCTACGGCTCCCGACATTCAGTCATTGCTGAGAGATCAAGTCAAATAGGTTTAAGCATCTTTACCATATTTGGTGGAAAGAAGGTCACTGATGATTGCCCAAAGGTCTTCAGCAGAGGAGGGAGTGAAACCAGACCAGGGGACAGAATATCACTAGTACAAGGAATCTGGCTGAGAACAGAAGAGGGGAGGACAGAGGTGGCTGGGATGCAGGCTGGAGAGGATTGTGGGATTGAAGAGGATTTTTTGTTTTCAATGGCTGAAGTTTAATAAATTTAAATGCCACTTGGTCTTATTCAGTATGAGGGAAAAAGATAAAGATCTAGAAAGAAAAGAGACAATTACAAGGATTTCTAGGAAGTCACAGTGGGACTCCCCTTGCTTTGTTATACCACAGATTCCTGATAAGAATTAGAATAATTGGGCTGGAGAGATGGCTCAGTGGTTAAGAACACTGACTGTTCTTGCAGAAGACCCGGGTTCAAATCCCAGCACCCACATGGCAGCTAATAACTGTCTATAACTCCAGTTTCAGGGGATCCAACAGCCTCTTCTGTCCTCTGCAGGCACTGCACGACACAGGTGCACTTATCTGAATGCAGACAATACACACATACACATAAAAAAATAAAATAAAATATTTTAAAAGAATTAGAATAATTAAACCAGCTCAAGAAAGTACTCCACGACTTTAGCCACTGGCTGACTGCCACAATGATGGTGTAAGCAGAGCAAATGAAGTCTTCAGATCATAAAATAGTTACTGCCCTAAATTTCAGAGTCAGCCAACTTGTCTGACCTGTTCTGTCTTGTATTCACTACCTGCTAGCATAAATTAAAAGTTCAGATTCTCAGTTACAGTAGCCATAGTTCAAGTTCTTAATAGCCACATGTAGTCTAGTAGCTATAAAACAGTTTCTCACAGAAAGTTCTATTAGACAGGATTGACTAACATTAGGCTCCACTAAGGCAAAAGGAATGCAAATTTTAACTCCTTTCCTAGTATCTACTTAGCATTTATTGTTTGTTGTGTGCCAGCTAGTGTTCTTGTTATGTTATATATGTGTATACATGTGCTGAATAAAACAAGACTTAATACAGCAACCCTATATTGTAGGTTTTACTCTGTGCATCTTAAAGATTTCAACCAATTCAACATGCCTGAACAAGGCAGTAAGCAGTATTCCTCTGGGCTCTCTGCTTCAGTTCCTGCTTCCAGGTTCCTGCCTCGAGTTCCTGCCCTGGCTTCTCTCCAAGATATAATCTATATTCTATATCTGTAATCTATGATCTGTAAGATAAGCAAACCCTTTCTTCCCAGAAGATGGCTTTGGTCAGTGTTTTGCCACCGTGATAGAAAGCAAACTAGGACACTGCTTCGTAGCTTCAACTAAGCCATGGTCAAAACTGAATATTCATTGTTAAAATCTGCATTTGCTCCTGTATAGTAGTTGGACTCAGGGGCCTAAAATTACATCTTCTGTCATGTGGCTAATAAAGGTCTACACAAAGGGAAGGACTGCATTTCTCACTGCTTTTACTGAACAGACACGGCAGGGGTTGGGGGCACTACTGAGTGTCTGTGAAAAAGCTCTGTCACAGGGCTGGAGAGATGGCTCAGCGGTTAAGAACACTGGTTGTTCTTGCAGAAGACCTGGGTTCGAATCCCAGTACCCACATGGTAGCTAACAACTGTCTGTAACTACAGTCCTAGGGGATCTGACAGCCTTTTCTGACCTCTGCGAGTACTGCATGATATGGGTGCACTGACCTACATGCAGGCAATACATGCATACACATAAAATAAAAATAATAAATAAGATTTAATAAAAGAAAAAGAAAAGGCTCTATCACAGATGTGATTCTTCCATTCATCCAATTAAGTTGAGAAAATTTGTAAATTTTTATTCTATCTTTTGATTTTACTCATAAAATTCCTCTAAGTTTCTTCTTTTCCTCCTAGAATAACGAACAGGAGACTAGCACCAAGCCTTCTTGTTCTGATTTTCCAAAGACCTACATGTTTCCTTGATTTTTAAATATTTTGAGTTGAACAGCATGCTGAAAAAATGTTTCTGATAGGGGGTGGTGGAACACAGTACTTGGGATGCAGAGGCAGGTGGATCTTTGTGAATTCAAGGCCAGCCTGGTCTACATAGTGAGTTCCAGGTCAGCTGGGGCTACAGGGAGGCCCTGTTTCAAAAAGACCAAAAAAAAAAAAAAAAGTTTCTGTGTGCACACGTGTGTGTATGAGCGTGTGTGTGTGTGTGTGTGTGTGTGTGTGTGTAACATGCATGTGTGCAGTGAGTTCATGTGGAGGCAAGAGGTCAATATCAGGTGTCTTTATCATTCTCCACCTTACGCTTTGAGACAGGGTCTCCCACAGAGTCTACAGCTCACTGACTCGGGTATTGTGACTGGCTAGCAAGCCCCAGGAATTCACCTACTTCCACTTCCCTAGCACTGGGATTACATGCACATACTACCAAACAGTGGCACGTGTGCTGGTCTCTGAACTCAGGTCCTCATGCTTGCACAGCAGCTTCTTACCACCTGAACCATCTCTCAGGGCTCCTAAACAACACACTTTTAAATGACTATACTCCAAGAAGCCCAGGTTACACAACAGACTTGTTGGTTCTCTGCAAAGGTATTTGTGATCAAAATTGTACATTGGCTTTCTCACTATAAAAGTGTTATTTTCATTTCTTTTGTCCTGGTTAGTTTACAAACAAGCTAGGAAAATAAAACAAACAACAACAAGAACACCCAGCCAAGTATTCCAAAGCCCAGACACTTGAAGAAGAAAAAACTACAATTGCAGGTTTCAGTTTAATGTTCTTGAGACCTGAGCACACTTGTCAGATAAAAGTAGGACATCAGTTAAACCTGAATTTCAGATAAACAGTATGCATAAGTATTCCCAAAGCATGCTAAAAATATATTTGTTACTTATATGAAGTTTGAATGTAACTAATTTTTGTAGTGTGTTGGTTTCTTTGCTAATTTAAACATATACTGGCCAGCCCATCACTAAGGAGCTCAAGGAATCACCTGTGACATAGGTGGAGAAACAGAAGGGCAGAAAGGATATTATGGTGTTTACTTTGTAGGTGATGACTTCATGATTAGCTCACTTTTATTTGAAACATAGCTATGGGAAGAAATACAGAGTCATTCTACTAAATAATCAATGGACTTTCAATAATTAACAACAGTTGGGGGCTAGGGAGATGACTCAGAGATTAGGAGCACTAACTGATCTTGAAGAGTACCTGGATTCAGTTCCCAGTGCCCACATGGTGGCTAACAACCATCTGTAACTCCAGTTCCAGGGGATCCAACATCCTCTTCTGGCCTCCACAGGCATTGCATGACACAAGCTCACTTACATATATGCAGGCAAAACACTCATACATATAAAATAAAAATAAATAAAAATTTTAAATTAACAACAACAACAACAACAAAACCCAGTTGAGTTAAGGGTGAGGATCTTATACAGAAATAAGCAGTGAATGATAACAGGTGGGCATTTTCCATCTTTAAATAAATAGAAATTACCTGGGCATGGTGACACCTGCCTATGATCCCAGCTATTCGGGAAGCTGAGTCAGGAGGATAATTTGAGCCCAGGAATTGGAAGCCACTTGAGTGAGTCCCAATGTTCAAAGGCTGCTTGGGCAGTAGCTTGAGACTCCATCTCAAAAGATGTGTGTTTGTGTGTGTGTGTGTGTGTGCGTGTGTGTGTGCGTGTGATGTATGTGTAGGCACACATACCACAGACCCATGTGGAGGTCAGTAGACAACTTTGTGGAGTCAGTTCTCTTCTTCCACCTTTCTGTGAGTTTTGAACATGAACTCAGGTCATCATGGTTGTGCAGCAAGTGCCTTTGCCCATTGAGCCATCTCATTGGTCCATATGTTTTACATGTATTTTATTTAGAGAGAGAGAGAGAGAGAGAGAGAGAGAGAGAGAGAGAGAGAGAGAGAAGAAAGGCACACGCCTCTGAGGGCAGGAGCTGGACCACAACTGGCAGGGAGGTCAGAGGACGATTTTGGGGAGCTGGTTTTCTCCTGCCATGGGTGCTTGGGATCAACCTTATGTCATCAGGTTGCACAGCAAGCACTTTTGTCCACTGAGTCATCTCCCCTCTCTCCTCACCCTGAGTTCATGGTATCAGGAAGTGGATGATGAAGTAATAAGGGTAGAGTCCCCATTAATAGGGTCAATGCCCTTTTGAAACAGACCCCAAAAAAGGCTCTTTGCTCCTTATACCATGTGAGGCCAGAGTGAGAAGATTCCTATGAACTAGAAACAGGCTCTCATCAGAACAAATCTAATGACACCTTGATGTTGGACTCTCCAGTCTCCAGAACCGAGAACTAAATTTCTATTTTTCTAGGCCACCCAGACTATGACATTGCGCTATTGTGGCCTGAGCAGATAAGACACCAACCTACTAGAAACACTAGGAAATCCAGTGATAAAAGGTGAAAGTAGGGAAGACAAAACGGCCGAGGAGAAACACTGCACATGACTCACCGATTCTGTAAATAAGAACTCTGCTGCCAGTAGGGTCCCTGGACCTCAGCACTCCATGGTAACCAGCCTTCAAAAGGCCAAGAATACTTCTAGGGTGTAGATCCGCACTTAATTCTGGGCATTCTGCTCTCCATTTATAATAGTTTTTCAGTAACTGAAAAATAAAATTAAAATTTGTTCATAGATAGGGTGCATGGTAAGTGTTCTGTAAAAACAGGAAAGCCTTGACAGTGGACATGAACTTTGTCATCCATCATGTCAGGATCTTTATCTGGGGGAGCTTTTTTGTTGTGATAGTCAAAGTTCCCGTCATCAAAGAACCAAGACCACAGGAGTTGGTCCTCAATTCAAGATTCAGCCATTTTTCAGTTGCTACCTGTAGAAGATAGTCTCCCCAAACAGTCACTAAGTCCAGACCTACTGATGTGCATCTTCCAGCAAGAGGTGGGATGGCCTTACACTTTGCTTTGACCAATAGAATGAGTTGACAGTGACACTGTACCAGGCCCAAAAGCCTGGTGTCATCTGAATTTGCTTTTAGGGATCTAGACGTATACGAGATTCCTAGATAGTAACCGTCTACGCAGAGAGAAGCCCAGGTTGAAAGGCCATCCTAAATAGTCTGACCTCAGCCAAGATGCCACCCAATGCCACAAGGAGCCAAGATGCACCATGCCTCTGAGACTCGGCCAACTGGAGAACACAAGCAAATGCTACGTCAACTGTACATCAATAACTTTCCAGAGATTTCTTAGCAAAAGATAACTCAAATACTACCTATAGCTATACTACTATAGTGTATTTAAAATTTATTTAATTTTCCTCTTTATGATTTTGAGCATTCTCATTTTTCCCAAGTTGACAATATATTTGTTTTATGTTAAAAGAGCTCTATCATCGGGGGCTGGAGAGATGGCTCAGTGGCTGAGCGCACTGGGTACTCTTCCAGAGGATCTGGATTCAGTTCCGAGCAGCAACCTGGCAGCTAACAGCCCTCTATAACTCCAGTTCCAGGGGATCTGATACCCTCTTCTGGCCTTCATGGGCATTCCATAATATGGATACACTCAGAGTCATGCAGAGAAAGCACTCATAAACATATACTAAAAATAAATAAGTAAAAAGCAATGTTTGGGGGCTGGAAAGATGGCTTAGTGGTTAAGAGCACTGGCTGCTCTTGCAGAGGACCTGGGTTTGATTCCCAGCACCCACATGGTGGCTAACAAGCATCTGTAACTCCAATTCCACGGGAATTTGACTCTCTCTTCTGACCTCCATGGGCATTGCACAACACAGGTTCACCTACCTACATGCAGGCAATACACTCATACACATAAAATAAAAATAATAAATAAAATATTTTTTTAAAAAACAATGCTTTAAAGCCGGGCGTGGTGGCACATATCTTTAGTCCCAGAAATCAGGAGGCAGCAACAGGCAGAACTCTGTGAGACTGAAGCCAGCCTGGTCTACATAGTGACTTCAAGATCAGCTGTGGCTTTAGGGAGACCCTGTCTCAAAATGACCGCCCTTAAAAAAAAAAAAAAATGATTTTATATAGCTCTATCAGCAATGTGGAACCATAAATAAGTAAAAGGAAAAGAACGGTCAACATTTGTGAAAACAGTGGGAAAGCCCTTCACATTGTGTATGCAGCTCAGCATTTACTGTACCTGGATATTAATCTGGGGGGCTTCACCACACAAACATTGTGTTTGAAATTCACAGTATAAATGTGGTAACTGTACTCCTCAAACAGCAGTAATCTATAGAAGACACAAGGAGTGAGCTGTGGGCGTAGTCCCTGCCTGGGGCCGACCAGGGGAAGAGAGAGCCAGTTGCACTGTGAGAGAAGCATCCCCAGGGTATCCTATAGGACAAAGCCTCTGTGGTCCTCCCTTCCCCCCTCCATTCTTTCAGTCTCCTTCATTCTCACTTTGCCACCCTCTCTTTCTCTCTCTCTCAGCGTTTGCATGTAATAAACTCTTCTTAGCTTAAAAAAAGAGAGACTTACTAAGCATGAAATGCAACAAAGTGAGAAAGAAAAAAGTCAGTCAATTTGCCAACAGAAATAATTGGTGACCTAAATAGCCATTTCCAAAGGCAGTAAGAACAAGGGGCACATTGTAGATACTGACGCACTCATGTTGGTCTATAAGATGAATTTCCCTTCCTCCTCCTGTTGTAGGTGACATCAGACTCAATGTCAATAGCATTTTATGAAGCCCATTTACTTTTTTGACAGTTTCCTCAAAAAAAAAAAAAAAGCAGGCCTTTAAAATCTGATTCAAGGTCAGTCTCAGAAGCAGCATCCTAGTGACTAGACAGAAATAATGGTTTTATTGTCTTGTGGGATTTTAAAATTTTAAAGCATAGCCTCACTAGAAAGGATCTTTGAGGTAACAGAGGCAGGGTACTCAACTTTTGTCCCTTCATACTGTAGGGCTCCCAGGAGATAGAAACATGTTGAATGAATGAATGGATCAATGCATGACTCCATCAGTGGTATTACTTCTGTAATACACTATTACTTTCATGCCTCTGACACTTCACTTTCCCAAAGTGAAGGATCGAAATCCAAATCTTTGATCACTTCCAAGGATAAGTAAATTCACAAATCCAGTTGACATAAATGTAAATGCTAAAAATAAATTGCTTCTAAGCCATTCTCAAACCAAACTCTGTCCACAATAATTAAAAAATGACTGCACATGAATATTTGTTATTGAAAACTGCCTATTTTGCACAAAAATTAGAAATGTATATTTACAGTGTTACATGTTAACTGTGCTTAAGATAGGTTCCTTTTTACATTTTCCCATGTGTTTTCAAACAAAAAAAAAAACCATATCAAAAACAAAAGAAAATGTGTACCATTTGTATACAGCACAATAACATCATCTCAGCTCCCCCTCTCAGACACCCTGAGAGATATTCTGTTATATGGATAACAAAGACACAAGAAACTACCAGTTAGCCAATGAGCAGTGAAGACCAAAATTGATAGACGGTATAATAAATTTCACAAAAGAAGCTACAATTAGAGGGAAATTGGTGGGAAAGGCCATGGAATTTTAGAAGTTTTGAAGTCTTGGGATAAACCATAAAGATAGTTAAATAATTTAAAATATCACGTCTTTGATTTTTTGTTGCTAAACTAATAACACAATACCATAGGTTGCATAAGTTATAAAGAAGTGAAGTTTAAGCCAGGCATGGTGGCCCATGCCTTTAATCCCAGCACTCGGGGGCAGAGGCAGGTGGATCTCTGTCTACATAGTGAGTTCCAGGTCAGGTGGGGCTACAGGGAGACTCTGTCTTGAAAAGACCAAAAATAAATAAGGGAGGGAGGGAGGGAGGGAGGAAAGAAGGAAGGAAGGAAGGAAGGAAGGAAGGAAGGAAGGAAGGAAGGAAGGAAGGAAAGAAGGAAGGAAGGAAAGAAAGAAAGAA